CCCCCCTTCCCATATTGTATTTTTTGGAAAGAAGTCAACATGCAGAGCACACACTTAAGAGGTGGGAGTTACCTTAAGTGAGAGGTTGAGATAAGGAGTGGGGAGTGTCTATGTAAATTATTGGAATAATAATTTACACAGGAGATTTCCTGGCTCCTCCATTTAAAAAATGTGATCAATTATTTATATCAGTATGGACTTAAGGTTATTTATTTCATCCTTTGGATTATAGTCCAATGTTACTTTATTTATGTTGTTCCTCAAATTGTTCTAGCTTTGGGCATTGGGAGAGCTTTCAGTTGGCTCCTATGTCCCTCTTTGACATACCCCCCATTTATTTGTTTGTTTGTTTATTTTTGGAGCACTTCCTTTGTTTCTGACACTACAAGATAAGCCAGGCTCCAAATGTATATTTCCTTCCCCAGTCCTAGAATCAACCATTTCTTTGAGGAGCCCTGGCTTTTGTTACTGGGGAAATAACATCCGAGATCAATATCTGGGTGCTAGGTATGCTCATTGCAACTGGGTGTTGTTCCTTCTAACGCTCTCAGCTGACAGAGTGAAGAAATATATATATGTATGCAGACATATCTGTATATATTTCTATATGTATCTACCTGTATCTATTTCTATTTTTTTCCCTAAGATACTCTCCCTGCTATAAAGGCCATAACCTTAATGTCATCTGCAAAATTCCTTCATAAATTAGTGTGTGTGTTCTTTTATAAGATTTTATTTATTTATTTGACAGAGAGTGAAAGAGCACAAGCAGGGGGAGCAGTTGAGGGAGGGGAGAAGCAGGGTCCCCTCTGAGCAGGGAGACCGATGTGGGGCTCGATCCCAAGACCTTGGGATCATGACCTGAGTCAAAGGCAGGTGCTTAACAGACTAAGCCCCCCAGGTGACCCTATAAATTAGTGTTTTATTGAATAACTGGGAATAGGAATTTGGGGAAAAATTCTGCCTACCACACCGAGTTTATATTTCAGAATTGAAGTGTGCATGGCTTGATAGCTCCTTCCCTTTTAGCACCAACGATATGGAAGAGGGTTTTATGTTCTCAAATCCACAGTGCGTAGGTATCCATTTGACATTTTTTTATTCTCAAGTTTTCTGGCCACACAAACTTTTTTGCCATATCCCTGTGCAGCACTCAGTTGTTTTCCTATTGTCATGAGCAATTTAGCTCTCTTCCCCAGACTTGCATATGCTGCTCAGTAAAGAACACAGCTCTTAGCATTTTAGCTCCCACCCAAGGAGCTTCTCAGACTTTACCTTCCTAGTCACACATCTACATTACAGTTCTTTATGTTTTTGATTAATATTGCCCCATCCCAACATCTTCGTTTCACCTCTCTTTGCATGTTTTTTTAAAGCATAAACTGTATCTTTATCATTGTATTCTGGAACAATGCTGCAGCTAGCCCCTAGTGTATGTGCAGTAAATATTTATTGAGCAGACAAATAAATGACTTGGTACAATGTAAAAATCAGATGGCAAAGGAACTGACAAACTTGAAATGCATGCTATATTCCATCTGCTTGGGTAGGATATTTGTTTACTATGTACTCTTTTCTTTTTTTTTTCACTGTGTGAAAACCAGTTGCAAAAAATGGCCTGAAATCTGAGATGCATTCAGTTTATATAGAACACATACTGTTTATAGAATCATTACTCAATAGTATCACGCTAGTGAACCTTGATAATGTGTGTCAGAGGTTTTCAGCATTAGCCCGGATCATCAGCTTTACTACAAACAGCTGAAATGTATTGATGGTATAAAATTTATTTTCTCATAAAATGTTGCATGGCCAAATTTTGGGACTTGGCTAACCAGCTTAGAATTATTGTTATCTATATTTTTAGTAAAAGGAGTTGAGGTGGCTGTTTATTAAGTCATTAGCTTAAAAAAATGCTTAACATTGATATAAAATTTAAATACTGGGCCTCTGAACAAATAGCCTAGAATGATCCTCATTTCACATACTTAAGTTCTAAGATAATCTTGGAAGTCGCACCCATCTGTGGGTGCTTCTTACAAAACCTGCGTTGGATGGGTACTTGCTGTCTTCAAGCTGTGTACATCAGCCTCTATATATGCTAGAGCCCTAATTTTGATGTGAAAAACTGTTCAAATTTGGGTAGTGAGAAAAGAGGAGTTCTTAAATTTCTCCTCTTTCTGATCCTTCTCTTTCCTTTTTCCTTTTCTTCTTCCTCTTTGTCCTTCTTAAAATAGCCACCATTGTCTTGGGTTATGGAGAATGTTGTCACCCACGAGAGTAATTTTTCTTCAGTTAAATATCCCATGTTTGCAGTCATCCTTCAAATACCCAGTGGTTTATGTCAGGAATGAACAATTAAGGGGCTTGTTGACCTTTCAGAGTCAAAAATTCTCTGTTTTAGGGATTTATCTCTTGCTGAGAAGATTTTTTTTTTTAAGCATAAAAATGTGTAGAAGTAGAATATTACAGAAACACTTTGAGTCTTTGGCTAAGTTTTAAAGGAGGGTACTCCATCTTTTCTGGTTTCTATTGTAAGGCAGGTGTATGTATTTTCAATATGTGAAAAGGCTGAACTCTGTCTATCTTGTGCTTTCCTGAGCCCTTCCATTTGTCACATTCAAGTTGTGGAAATGACTAAGAAGCTGCTACTAACAGCCAGTGGTTAGCTGGGAAGTGGCTGGTGAATGACTTCAGGTGAAGTGACCTTTGTTTCTCAGCCATGAGAAATCATTAACTTTTCTAAAAAGGTGCTAGAATTGAAACAAATAATAAACAGAAGGTAAAATGGTGGTGGTTTATACAAGGGCTTCCAAAACAGTTTTCTTCCACAATAAATGAAGATAAGATTTCTTGGCATCCAGATGAGAACTTTCCAACATTCCATGTGTGCATAAAATTCCATATATGCAAACAGGTTTCACAATTTCAAAGATCTGGATTGCTTGTAGGCTACATTTAGCTGAATTGAAAATCCGTCTCTCTGGTGTTCATTTTACCCCAATAATATGTGAATTTTATCCTTAGGGCCTGTAAGAGTTAATGTCATAAGTTGGAATTTACTTACTAGTAGATAGGTGGTTGGGGAAAATTGGTTCAATGTTTTTCTTAACTGATTGTGTTTTCAGGATGAAAATCAACAGACTATGAATCAGGAGTTGCCAAGAAGATCAGTGCGTTCCATTCGTACCTATACCATTGATTGCATATTTCCCTCAGGATAATTCTACTTTAACAAACACACACATAGTTTCTGGGGAAAAAAAAAAAAAAGAAATGTTAGTAGCAGAAGCTGCTGCTCTGGCTTCCTATGTTGGCAGAAAGAGATTGCCTGATTTCTATGTTGGCGATCCATATTATTTTTTTTTATTGCATATTGAATAAAAGGGTACTGCTAAACTGCAAACAATCTGAATACATTTCTTTCTGCACTGATAAATGCTCTCAAGTTTTCCAGCATTGGAAAAGGTGGGGTGGCCCCTTGTATGTTTTCAAAACTGAGCCTGGTGTTTTGTACTGGGGAAGCATGCATGGCACCTTACCATGTTCCTGGTGCATCATGTATGTTGCACATTTTACAAGTTTCAAAGCCCTTTCTTGTATTATTTCATCTTCATTTTATAATGATTCTACAAGACAGCATAGACATCACTGTAATAATTTCTAGATGAGGAGGCTCAGAAAATTTCAGTAGGTTTTCTATAGTCACACAGCTAGGATGTCAGGCTAGGAGCAGGATTAGGACCTAGGTTTTCAGATTTGAGGAAACTCTACTCTGGTGCAAGTTCAGAGCGTGATTGCTTTTGGTCAAAGGGCCTTGCAACATGATAGCAAGGACATATTTTGCAACTTATGCTCTAGAGTTATCAGACAGAACTTTATACTTCTCTTTCCCATCACTGTGAGCTCTTCATAGAATGAGATCTCATTGTCATTCTTTCCTCTGATTTTTAATAATTAATCTTATTTTCCAGCAGGAATTTTAAGACCTGACCTAAATATTATAATTAACACACTGAAAGGTTCTATCAACATGACCCACTTAGTATCCCTTTTCCGGTGTGGAAACTCATGAATGTAATTTAATGTTACTTTTAAAAGACTGAATTTTGTGTTTTGCAGTTTCCCTGATGGAGTTTACACAGTTGTATTCAGTGAGAGGATGGGCCATCTTCTGAAAGCTCTCTCTCTCTGGCAAAGGAAGGACACTAACTGCTGCTGTGTTAATAGTGAGAGAGGAGAGTTTTGATTCTTCCGGTCATCTTTTGCCCAGCAGAACTCAATGCACAGCTTCTACTCACTCCTGATCATTATGCCTGGTCATGACATGGTTTTGCCATGGAATACGATGCTACGAGTAGATAGGGACTGTTTAAGGAAAATGACTTTTCTACTGATTCCTGGGTTTCTGAATTCATATCCCTTTAATTTACCTCTGTCTTTTGCTCTTTTCCACATACAAATAAGTCCTCATATCTTCTTGTTAGAATTGGCCATTTGGAGCCACTTGACAGAGTTTCTAGTCATGAAAGTGTTCCTATTTCTCAGAACCAGGGAGAAACTCAAGAAATGGGTTTTTTTCTTCAGTGCTTTTGAGGTTTTAAGCCTCCTGGGTGTGGAGTAGTGCATCATGTCCTTCTGAATTTTTCTTAAATTAAATGATAATGCAAATTTAATTTTTCTCCACAGAGCCCCATCTATGAACTGATATGAGCATATTTCCCCTTTTTATGATGAGGAAAAGAGAAAAAAGAAGTGAATTTTCAGGGGTGAAAGATGTGTTCCTTTTAATTGGAGCACTTACACTATACCTAAGAATATTTGGAAAGTCTTGGAACCTAGTTATATTTTCAAGAAAAACTTCAGATATTGAATAAATAAGATTTCAGAATCCCATTTCGTGTGAGTTCTTCAGGTCTGTGTGGAATGAACATGAAAATGTGTTGGACATTAATTCCTCTAGAAAGTCTGGGAAATGTCACTCTCCTTTGTCCTCTTAGGTGGCCATGTTTGCACTGCAGCTGGGCAGTGCCACCTTCCTGCTTACGGAGCCCGTGATCAGTGCGATGACGACCGGGGCTGCCACCCATGTTGTGACTTCACAAGTCAAGTATCTCCTGGGAATGAAAATGCCATATATATCTGGACCACTTGGATTCTTTTACGTGAGCTTTCCATATGTCTTTGTTCGTGTATTTTGGGAGTGTGTTTCACAAAGTAGAATTCGGTGAATTCTAATACTGAGATTTTTTGGTAGGTATGGAACGTGGGTTTAAATACAATCGTTTTGGGATACTTTTAATGTAATTTAGGATATGAAGCTAACTTAATATGTTCTATCTACTAATTTTGGAAGCAATTCTTGATAAAAATTGAGTATGATATAATTTGGGGTCATGATTAGAAAAAAATAACTGGAATTTTTCCAAGAGCCAGCTCTGTTGCAACTTCTCATGGAAGTCATCTACTGGGATTGGGGCCCAGTTTGACTACAGGACACTCTACCACTTTCATTCAGTATTGTGAACTCCAGTTTGGCTCAAATCACAGGCCTGGGCAAAATTGGTGGCCGGAGCCCCAGTGGCCGACAATGAGCTACTAAAAGTCACTTGAACCTGAGAGAGGAACCTATGGCCAATTTCAAAATATTACCCTAATAATACTCCATTGTTTTTGTCCCTTTTTGAAGCTGACCTAAAATCTCTGACTGCTCAGGAAGTCATATCCTATGGAGCTTTATAAGAAAATGAATGTTTCATCAATAAACTGGAGGGCAACCAAACTTCATTTTACTTAATTTCTTAATTTTATGTAGTAGAGAAGGAAAAAAAAATATTTCCATTCTACTCTTCTAGGTTCTGAGCTGTGGACCCTCTAACAAAAAACCAGATTAACCAGAGAAAACCAACAAGTTTATTAACATGGGTATCATATAGGCAAGGGAGAAACTCAGAGATGAGTAACTTGAGAAAGGCTAGAATTTGGGTGTAAATACTTTCTTCACCCAAAACAAATGAGGAAAGAGTGTGCGGAGCCAAGTTATGGGAAGGTGACCAGGGAAAGTACTATAAACAGGGATAAGGTTTGCTGTGCAGATTTAAGTTGTTCCTTCTTCTTGATGGGAATACTTTGTGAGTTAGAGTCACCCTTTCCTTCTACAGAGAGGGAGACACCTTATAGGTGGAGAGTTCCTTTATGAATGTAAATTTCTCTTACAAAAGGGTCACTTATATCCTGTTTCCAGAGCTTCCTTGTGTCTGCTGTTTCTCAAAATAACAACCTGAAGATAATCCTTATGTCAAACAGGTATATTTTGGGGTGGCACATCCTGAGCTCCCACAATATAATGCTGCATACTAAGTAACATTAATGTTTTATAATGAGAGAATTCTGACTCTCAATTTTCTTGATCTTAAAGGCTAAATAGTAGCTTAACATATAAGTAAAATAATTTCTTCATCTAATGCCTGATGTTATGGTAGTTTGTGGTGTTTCACTATTATACACAGCTTCACGAGGATCTTTGTTATTTGTATGTTATTATCTGCATCACTAATTATTTTATTGGGATAAATTCCTAGTAATGGAATTACTGGATCAGAAGGATATAAGATGTTTGCCAAATTTCAGTCTGAAAAGTTGTGCTCATTAATATTGCACATTCGCCTTATCATTGTCAACTCTAATTATTACTATTTTTAAAATTTGTCACTCTGGTACCTGAAAAGTAGTATTATCTAATCTGCTTAAGTGTGTGTTTCTGTGAGTGACTGGTAAAGCAGTCCATAAAGATAGCAGTTGGCAACATGGAGCTGGAAGCTGGTTCTGAATTTTTGCTATTTAGGTAATATCCTGCTCAATGACTCATTCATTATAAGAGAGCTTAAAAACTAAAACAAGAGCGCTGGAACTGAGCCTGGAGGCCCCAGATCAAAGGAATGCAGACCAAAGTAGCTGTAAGCCGTCAGGTGACGGGTCCCTTACGACTTCTGGTGACACCAGGTCTACACCAGAGAACCAAATCAGCACTGGATTCTGTCTTGACCTTCCTGAATGGTGTGCTCATCTGTGCGTGGGAAGTGTAAGGAACTGTGAATGAATTACAAATTAGCCTCTTCAGTCATATTCACACACAAATAATCATCCCTCCTTTCTCTAGTTCTGTTAAAAGAGGCAGGAGAGCCTGATAGGGGAATGACATTCAGTCTTTCAGCTTGTCTCTCTCATGGCAAGTATATGAAATGCCATGTTAAAGTGTTTTGTGTATGATTTCTTTTTTCCATTTTATTTTCTTGTGAGGAAAACTGTAAGCTACTTAATCTTTGCCTTGTCTGTCAAATCCTGTGTGGCTTGTTGGAGGCAAGGGGTTAAGTTCTCACAATGAAACAGGATCAGATTTTAAAATATTTATAGATGGGTGGCTTTACAGTCACCGTATTCAGTTGGTGGGAATTGCTAAGCTGTGTGCTGAGGGAAAATGAAGAAAGTTGCTATTGCTTTTCCGTGTCCCAGAGTCCTACACTGTTTAGTTGCTGGGTTGGAATGGTGCTTTGATTCTTTGCCAGGGTTTCAAAAATGAATGTGGTTATTTTACGTCAAAAATTGTGGCGATCTGAGCTTTAGATTAAGAAATAAGTTTTGTGGGGGCACCTGGGTGGCTCAGTGGGTTAAAGCCTCTGCCTTCAGCTCAGGTCATGATCCCAGGGTCCTGGGATCGAGCCCCGCATCGGGCTCTCTGCTCGGCAGGGAGCCTGCTTCCTCCTCTCTCTTTGCCGGCTTCTCTGCCTACTTGTGATCTCTGTCTGTCAAATAAATAAATAAAATCTTTAAAAAAAAAAAAAAAGAAAGAAAAAGAAATAAGTTTTGTGTCATGCATGGGTTCTACTGGGATGTTTGCAAAGTGAGCTTTGGTGTAGTTAGGCTGAGGAAGCTGATGATGATAATGTAAGTGTGAACTTGCCCCTAGCTCGTTTGGGTGGGGTGTGCAGGACCAAAGCTGAACTCAGCTCTGAGGTATAGAACAGAAAATAAAATGGAGGCCTTGATCATCAGGGCCAGAGAACCCAGAAGAGGGTGAATTAACACATTGGGGGATTGTTCACTTTTTGACTATGTTTCCTACCTCTGAGGTTTCACAACTCTTCTATTCTTTTTGAAAGCTACTCAGGCTGATGGGTGATAAAGAATATGTAGCTGGTTATCTTTGGAGCATAAATTAATATCTAAAGTATTTGAGACTCTTGTATAAGAGTCAGTGGTCATGCCTAATTTTCTCAGCCGGAACACTCATTTTTCTTAAAAGAATTCAAGTTTGGCCAACGAAAATGTCTGTTGATTAATTTTGATTGTTGTGATCTTTGCTATCAATGTCACCTTCTGCCTTCATCCTGTTCTGAGGTCACTGGAGGTTGGGGTCTCTCCTTTCCGCCATGGGGATGGTTTCTTAAGTGTCTTCTACCTGGGGGATGCCTGATGCTGTGCTACTAAGAGAATCTGATTCTCTAGTTTGAATATCTAAAATCTCTATCCCTTTGGTCACTCTGAACTGGTGGGTGTTCTTGCCTCAGCAAAACATTTTTAAAGAGCAGTTTGAATCAGAAACACCTGGTGGCAGATTCTGCCCTGTCAGATTGTAGAACAGATGTCTGATAGGTCGTAAGAAATAGATGTGCCCTAATGCTTCTCCCCTTTCTACATCTGCCATGTAGATCACATGCCACCAATGCCAGCTAAGATCAGAGAGGCCACTTCTTCTCTTCTAGCTGAAAACTGGTAAGAAGCTTCATCAGAGGAGGGGATCTCCAATAAGTGTTAAAGCCTACTAAAGCTTTCAGCTCCTGGTCCTTCGAGTACCTCTTTCAGAATTTCTAGGATCTTTATATGCAGATAGATCCCCATGTACACCCTTATGATTTCCTTGATTCCCAAGAAAAGTGGGTAGAATTAGGCAAAATTCATCTTTCTTATTTAACTTCCCAAATTTCCTCATGCATCATGTTTTACTTTCTCCTTTGTTATGCAAGTTTTATCTCTAAATTCATATACCTCTAATAAATTTTAAATTATGGCTATTTCTTAATGATCTTTGAAGTATTGCACATTCTTTTTTAGTTACTTATTGGGTAAAAATCAGTTTTTTTCTCTGAGTTGACTTTTAGCTCTGCTGATTTTATTTAGGGTCCATACAGTCAGGTAGGCCATAATTCATCTTTTCTTTTCCTTAGAAAGAGGCAACAGGAGAAAAAACTTGAGAATTTTAGAAGCCCATATTCAGATCATAACTCTGGTCTTGACCAAATCAAGTATCTTTGACTTCTGGTTGCCTGTTTCATAAACTGATGATAATTATACCTATCGGGATTCATTCCCTAAGTGAAATGCCTAGAACATATTCATTAAACAGAAGCCATTATCTTTGTACTAGTAATGCATTGTTGGATATAACAAATTTAAGATTTTTGAAAGAGCTTCTTATGTAAAAGATACTTCTGTCTATTAATAATAATAGAATTGTAATAGATGGTTTTCCTGTAAACTTTGGAGGACTCGATCAGATAACCAAAGCTAAACAGTAAAACAAAGTTATATCTCTTCTTGCAACTTAGAAAGATGACTTCAAAATTTATAAAACTTAAAAAAAATAACTGTATCTGCTGTTTATAATGAGAGTTAGTCATCAGAATTCAAGAAATGCTATATTTTTGTTTATTTTTATTTAAAAATATTTCCATCTATTCAGCTCACCACCCCAATAGTTAAAAACTCACTTAACAAATTATAACAGTGCTGGAATACATTTCACACTAAGCAGGAGCAATAACATTCTGTCTTGGGACTCTGGCAAACCAGTGACACTATTTTATTCCTGTCTTTCTTACAATTCGAATATTTGACTGATAGTTGGTTCCCCACATACATAAGAGGGAAAAGTTTAATTCTTCTCTAGAATATTTTTTTAAATTTAATTTAATCTTTTTTTTTCAGTGTTCCAAAATTCATTGTTTTTTTTTTTTTTTAATTGAGAAATGATGATGTATCTTTTGTTAGAAAGGATGTTTCCCCAAAAGGCACAATAAAAATTACAAAAATTCCTAGTTCCTATTAGCACATGTGGGTTTCTTTGAGATGGCGCCAGTGTCTCAGCCTGGAGCAACATATGATAAAT